GGGCGGTCAGTCTGGTCAACACGGCACGGGTGAACGTGGGTTGAGCTAAATGCAAGAGGCGAGCTAGCAATTCTACCCGGTGGAAAAGCTAGTTTGGGTTAGCTAAGACTTAAGGCAAGAGACTAGCCCTTTGTAGTGTCGATAGCTAGCTTTCCAGCTAGCTAGACAATAGAAGGGATATATATTACGGTGTTGCAGGTAGTAATGCTGGTATGGTTAGCTTGCCTTACAGCGAGCAAGACAGGTTAGCTTAAGCCTAGTGGCGAAAGCTAGTCCATTGTTAGCGTGGTTAGCTAGCCAGGTTAGCCAAAGCCTTGTGGCGAGGGCTAACCAAGTCTCGATAGCTAGCTGTGTGATGCTAGCTACAATGGAGATGGACAAGGAGAAAATGTATTCTACTCTAAGCAAAACTTTCCTGTCGGTCAGTACTCAACACTATTGTCAGGAGCTGAGGTTCTACGTTCGGCAGCATTAACATCTTGGTTCGCATGAAAACAGTTTAGTAAGAAGACAGGAATCTAGTCATGCTGAGGAGAGGTTCTTGTGAATGCAGTCACTTCCGCAAGGAAGAGCGGCGAGAATGACCAGCTGGCGGGCAAGTGGCGCTCTTGGAGAGGGGCTCACCTGAATCGCTCCTCGACCTGTCTGTCTCTAACAGACGTTGTATGATTGGATACTTTGAGCTTGTGACCTGCCTTAAGGCATATCCCATAAGTGACACATTGAAGCGAGTATTAGAACCCCAAGCACACATCAAAATCCACAAAGAAATGGTTAATTGATCACAAAATCAACATTTTGTAGTAGACATCTCACTCTCCAGACTTTAACCCCATTGAAAACCTGTGGTTTGAATTGAAGAGGGCAGTCCATAAGCCAGTGTTGTGTTCGATTCAAGACCAAGACTGGAGCAAATCGAGTCGGAGTCAAGACCGGAGTTCAAAATGTCCAGTACTTCTGTGTTCATATTTCAGAACATATAGATTCTTTAGACATTCAGAATAGTGAAAAAAATGCATGCTGAGGGAAAATAGAGCCACTCTAAAAAGTATTTACTAACCCAAACAGTGGGGAACAATGGGCCTTATATGCCTTCAGAGAAGGGCTAAGGATTTATAAAATAATGATAATATTATAATATTTTCAATTACGTTCTGATTGAATCTCTTAAGTTTTTGTTGGAAAGGAAAGGTTTAACACTGAAGAGAAAAAAGATCCAATCAGGATTTTTCTTTGCTGTCTCTGGGGAGATAAATCTTGCTAGCTAAGTCAGCCACTGGCTAGGCCATCAGAAGCTAGATAAAGGCGTCTGCCATTCAACTGTATTAGTGGAACATTTTAGAGTGACAGTGAAATCAACCAATCACATTTTGACTTAATGAGTGGGACCATAATCTTTGCTGTTGTTGTATTTTCTCCCCAATTTCGATCTTGTCTCATCGCTGCAACTCCCCAACGGGCTCGGGAGGCGAAGGTCGAGTCATGCATCCTCCGAAACATGACCCGCTAAACAGCAATTTTTTAACACCCGCCCACTTAATACAGAAGCCAGCCGCACCAATGTGTCGGAGGAAACCCCGTTCAACTGACGACCGAGGTCAGCCTGCAGGTGCCCGGCCCGCCACAAGGAGTCGCTAGAGCATGATGAGCCAAGTAAAGCCCCCCCCGGCCAAACCCTCCCCTAAGACGGACGACGCTGGGCCAATTGTTCGCCGCCCTATGGGACTCCCAATCATGGCCGATTGTGATACAGCCCGGGATCGAACCCGGGTCTGTAGTGAGGCCTTTAGCACTGCGATGCAGTGCCTTAGACCGCTGCGCCACTCGGGATGCCCTGAGTGGGACCGTTTATACAAAAACGTATGAAAACTTGAAGGCCAACAGGTCACTGTGCAATAGCGAGCAGTAGTTTTTCCCTTGTCGGCTAGTTTGCATCGGCTGCAGCAGGTGTTATCAAAGAGGATGTTGTTGCTAATTTGTTACATTCTCCTTTTCAAGAATAACTTTCAACAAGAAGTTACGTTTCAAATTATCATCATCTGGTGAGTGCAACTGTGTTTATTGCAGCGCGCTTGCTGTTAGCCATCTCTTTGAAAATAACTTGTGAAAAATTGTTGCATTTAAAGTGGAACAGACAACATTTTAGCAACATGAAATCTTATTAAAATCTGTTCATATACACACCCAGGAAGAATTACACTTTTTTTTTAACTTTCTGACAAGCGACCACGTGGTCATTTTCAAGTTTTCATACATTCTAAGAATGTTTGGGATTTACGTATACTAAGGCAGAGTGGGAAAGGGGCCATGCGTTCGGACAATTAATAGACACTGCAGTAAATAAAATCATCATAAAAACATCTGTCTTGTCCAGGACCATTTGCCACACAGGCCTGCAATCATTCACTTTGAACTGTACTGTGGTTTACAGGCAGTTGTAACAGCGCGATCATTAGAATGCATTCGCCAAAAGCCACAAAATACACCTGAATGGATTTCTGCAAATATGTAAACACCACGAGAGTCCTCTTACATTTGGGAACTTTAGAGTCCTATTGCAAAGGTAGGCTCGCTCTCCATCATTTCCGCACACCAACAACAACACGATCAACAACTAATGCTAGCCAGTGCAAGATGAGCTAAAATCTAATAAAGGAACATCAGATAAACCCGCTCAAACCTTTTCAGCTAGTTGGTCGTCAAAATTGCACTGATAAACTATGGGGAATTGTACCCTCCTCGTCCTTCTGCAGCTTGCCTGCCAATGCATACTTGTCCCAACCAAGCACCCAAGCTAACTGGCTAATGTTGGCTAGCTTGCTAGCTAGCTACTTCCAGACACAAATGAGAAAATATTTCACTCTGACCATTTTACTTGCCATAGCAGAGCTGGTCAGGCTGTTTACATGTTATCTAACTATTACTTTCTTTGCCTACGTTTACTGACACTGGTCATATTCAGCAGGTGTTGCCCTTTCGTAAATTCATCAGTTGTTCTGCGCTCTAGCACACTCAGACAAGCGTGCTCTGAAATCGGAGTAGGATAGCCAGAGTAAATTTGCGAACGCAGGAGATATGCTAACTGTATAACAGTCGTTCAAGTTCTTGCTAGCTAACCAAATGACACCTGCATCTCTAGCTGTGAATAGCCACCAAAAAACGATATGAGGGGAAAAAGTTAGGCACTCACCCACTCCTCCATGGCATGACATCCTCCTAGCCGCTAGCTAGCTAACGTTAGACTCAGTGTTTTTAGCTTGCTACATAAATAGATACACTAGCCTATTAGCCACATTATGACTGACTTGTGATGATTGCTCTTGCTAGTTTGATTGTCTTGACATTCCCAGCCTTAGTTACATTTCTCAGTTTTTGTCCAGAATATTGAGTCATTGAAATTGAAACGGTGCATCCCGAATGAAGGCAGCAAACAATGTACCAGGCCAGCTGTGATTTACAACCTGATAGCAATATTATTTTGACAATAAAGAAATGTATTGGTGAATTATATTAATCACGCATTGAACTGCATCCATCTATTCTGCCAACAATGCCTTAGTGTACGTCATGGAACATTGAGTCAAATAACCTATTTTTAAAACCTCTTATAAAGTTGGTTTTGTAGCTTAAACTGGGAATTTGATATTTTTGACTGATATTATGATTGTCTGTTTCATATCTGCAAAGTAGTTAAAATGCTGTCAGTTCCACTGTAAACTTTAGAACACTGATTACTTTGTGTGCTAAACGTGAAATGTTTTTTGCAATGTGAAGTAATTTCTATTGGGAAATGCTTAATATTGTGTTTTTGTATTCTTATGATTGGGACCTACAGGCGTATTATGTCCAAGTTTATGGACTGCTTATCCTTTAACATCATGCTGTGTGTGACTGCTGTCTTTCAAAATCGGTCCTATGCAGTGGTGTCTGGAGAAGTGGGTATATTCTAATTTTGCCCAAAAGTTCCCAAACGGCCCGCCCAGCGAAGGAAAGGCACCCTGTGTGAAAACTCCTATGTTTTCCTATGTTTTTTTTAATGAGTTTTCCAATAGATTTTTCAGATTTCCACTCTCAAAAATCACTTTAAAAAAAAAGTAAAAAATAAGTGATGTCTAAGTCCACAACAATGCTTAAACGACATCAATCTGATTGGGTGGGCCTGCCAGGGCCTGGCTCCCCAGTGGGTGGGCCTTAGTCCACCCAGGCCTATCCATGTCTACGCCCCTGATGCAAACAGGCATAATGACAATTGCGCATCAGAAATCAACACTTCGGACTAACACTTTTTCAATACCTGGTTTGCATACCCATTGTTGCCTTAGTTAGCATTTACTGGTAGAATAAAGTTGAAATTTCTTTCCTACCCTACCGGCTACCAATGTCATTCTTCTGTATGCTGCTCAATGCCAAAACCAGCTGAGAGCTGCACACTCTTGCTGCATGCAGATGACATTCCCCTGAAACTAGGCTATGTGTGCGGCGCGCATGTGAATATATTTCACGTGCTTTGTGATTGTGTAGGCTACTTTGTGCATGATTTTTCTATTGTACTACATAATTGATAAGTTGTGGTCTTGAGACCGGGCTCGAGTACTACATACAACACTGCCTTAAGCACAGACGAAGGATATCAAGGATCTGGAAAGGTTCTGCATGGAGGAATGGTCTAAGATCAGCTCCCAATGTGTTCTCCAATCCCATAAAACATTTTAGAAAAAGGCTCAGTGTCGTTATCCTCGCAATGGTGAGGTAATGAAAACAAAGTTACCAATAATACAAATAATAAAAAAAGACTTGTTAAACAAAATCTCTCTGAGCAATTGTATTAGTATAAAATATATATCATTTCCCAATTTTCTAAGTACACAATATAGCTCAGTATTTGTATTATTTATTTAATAGTATTTTTTGCTCATCTTAATCAAGGATGCCAATCCTTAAACTATTATGTGAATGCACTTTTTTTTAAGAGCGAGACTCACAGTGCAGAGCAGGACAGCATTCTCTGCGGGGTTGTAAGACATGCTGAACACTGGGAACTTTGACCCACTAGTAGAAAAACAGAACAGTGGTTATAATTCACATAATGACAAAACCAGCTGACCTCTCACATTCTTTTAGAAACTCGCAAGCAGTCAGTCTCATCCTTCAGAATTCAGTTAAAGGACAATACAGACTTTGCAGTATTATATGAGCATGCATACACACACACACCTGCGCAGCTGCATGACGGCAGTGTCCTTGCTGCTGTTGAAGTCGAGCTGTCGCAGGAAGCGATCCTTGACATAGTAGAGCATGTTGCCGTACACGGCATAGGCCGGACGCTCACGCTCCAGCTTAAACACCAGCATACCACTGTCATGACCTGGAGGACAAACAGCCTGGTTACCCACTCCACTTAATAACACGTCTTCAACAACACACGGTCAGTGAAAGAGTGAAATTAAGTGCAGCATAGTCAGTATGTGTGCCCATCTGCATTTGAGGTGGGTCAAGAGTCAAGACGACCACCTCCATCCGCCTTCCAATGTAATCTACTTTGAGCACAATAAAAAGCTCCATATCAATTCAATTCATTGTTATCATTATACGTTAGTCACTTACCAGCAGCAAATAGGTTTAGGTTGGGGTGAGCCCCCAGCACCCAGAAGCGGTCGTGGTCCCTGCGGAAGGTCTGGACGCCAGTCCTCTTGGACATGTCCCACACACGGATGCTCTTGTCCTCGGAGTTGGAAAGGATGAGCTCCTGGCGGGGGTGGAAGACAGCACAGGACACGTTGTTGTAGTGGCCCCTGCAGGTGTCCAGCTCCCACGCCTTGGACTCTGGAGAGGTGGGATTAAGTAAGACAATCAAGTTATAAATCCCTTGAAAAAGACATGGCTAGGATCTAGGGAGAAAAAAATAAAAATCAGCAAACAAGCATGTTATTTAAAATAGCACTGCAAGTTGATTTTAAGGCCCAGTGCAGTCAAAAAAGGGATTGTCCTGTGTTTTATATACAGTGCCTTCGGAAAGTATTCAGACCATTTTACTTTTCCACATTTTGTTAGGTTACAGCCTTATTCTAAAATGTATTAAATTGTTTTTTTCCCTCAATCTAAACACAATACCCTATAATGACAAAGCAAAAACAGTTTTTTAGAAAATGTTGCTAAATTAAAAAAAAAAAAAAAAATAAAATGCCACATTTACCGAACTATTCAGACCCTTTTACTCAGTACTTTGTTGAAGCACCTTTGGCAGCGATTCCAGCCTCGAGTCTTCTTGGGTATGATGCTACAAGCTTGGCACACCTGTTTTTGGGGAGTTTCTCCCATTCTTCTCTGCAGATCCTCTCAAGCTCTGTCAGGTTGGATGGGGAGCATTACTACACAGCTATTTTCAGGTCTCTCCAGAGATGTTCGATCGGGTTCAAGTCCGGCCTCTGGCTGGGCCACTCAAGGACATTCAGAGACCTGTCCCGAAGCCACTCCTGCGTTGTCTTGGCTGTGTGCTTAGGGTCGTTGTCCTGTTGAAAGGTGAAACTTTGCCCCAGTCTGAGGATATGAGCGCTCTGGAGCAGGTTTTCATCAATGATCTCTGTGCTTTAGTCCGTTCATCTTTGCCTCGATCCTGACTAGTCTCCCAGTCCAATGCCGCTGAAGAACATCCCCACAGTATGATGCTGCCACCACCATGCTTCACCTTAGGGATGGTGCCAGGTTTCCTCCAGACGTGACGCTTGGCATTCAGGCCAAAGAGTTCAATCTTGGTTTCATCAGTCCAGAGAATCTTCTCATGGTCTGAGAGTCTTCAGGTGCCTTTTGGCAAACTCCAAGCGGGCTGTCATGTGCCTTTTACTGAGGAGTGACTTCCCTCTGGCCACTCTACCATAAAGGCCTGAATGGTTGAGTGCTGCAACGATGGTTGTCCTTCTGGAAGGTTTCACCCATCTCCACAGAGGAACTTTGGAGCTCTGGCAGAGTGACCATTGGGTTCTTGGTCACCTCCCTGACCAAGGCCCTTCTCCACCGATTGCTCAGTTTGGCTCGGAGATCTACGGACAATTCCTTCGACCTCATGGCTTGGTTTTTGCTCTGACATGCACTGTCAACTGTGGGACCTTATATAGATAGGTGTGTGCGTATCCAAATCATGTTCCAATCAATTTAATTTACCACAGGTGGACTTCAATTAAGTTGTTGAAACATCAAGGATGAGCAACGGAAACAGGATGCATTTGAGCTCAATTTCGAGTCTCATAGCAAAGGGTCTGAATAGTTACGTAAATAAGGTAAGTGTTTATTTTTTATAAAATAGCAACAATGTCTACAAACCTGTTTTCGCTTTGTCATTATAGGGTATTGTGTGTAGATTGAGGGGAAAAAATAATTGTATCCATTTAGGCTGTAACGTAACAAAATGTGGAAAAGGTCAAGGGGAAGACTTCCTGAATGCACTATAAAAACGGCTGCATTGGACCTGTACAGTGTCTTCAAAAAGTATTCACACCCCTTCACTTTTTCCACATTGTTGTGTTACTAGGTGCGATTAAAATGGACTGGTCATTTTTTTGTCAACGATCTACTCTAAATATTCTGTCGAACTGGAAGAAACATCTTAACATATAAAAAAAATATATATATCTTTATTAGATAACTACTCAACCCCTTAGTCAATACATGTTAGAATCACCTTTGGCAGCGATTACAGCTGTGAGTCTTTCTTCAAGCTCTGTCAAGCATTGCTACACAGCCATTTTCAAGTCTTGCCATAGATGTTCAAGCCGGTTTACTGTAACTAGGCCAGTCAGGAACATTCAATGTCACCTTGGTAAGCCACTCTAGTGTATATTTGGCCTTCTCTTTTAGGTTATTGTTTTGCTGAAAGGTGAATGTCTCTCAGTGTCTGTTGGAAAACAGACAACCAGGTTTTCCTTTAGGATTCTGCCTGTGCTTCGCTCTATTACGTTTCTTTTTATCCTAAAAAACTCCCTAGTCCTTGCTCATGACAACCATACCCATAACATGATGCAGCCACCACCTATTAGAATAACTACAAAGTTGTTGATCCATCCTGAGTTTTCTCCTATCACAGACATAAAACTCTGTAGATGTTTTAAAGTCACCATTGGCCTCATGGTGAAATCCCTGGTGAAATGTCCTTCCTCTCCGGCAACTGAGTTAGGACGCCTTTATCTTTGTAGTGACGTGGTGTATTAATACACCATCCAAAGTGTAATTAATAACTCCCCCATGCTCAAAGGGTTATTCAATGTCTGCTTTATTTTGTTTTACCCATCTACCAATAGGTGCCCTTCTTTGCGAGGCATTGGAAAACCTCCCTGGTCTTTGTAGTTGAATCTGTGTTTGAAATTCACTGCTCGACTGAAGGACCTTACAAATAATTGTATGTGTGGGGTACAGAGATGGGGTAGTCATTCAAAAATCATGTTAAACACTATTGTCGCACACAAAGTGGGGTATTGTGTGTAGGCCAGTGACACAAAATCTCAATTCAATGAATTTTAAATTCAGGCTGTAACAACAAAATGTGAAAAAAGTCAAGGGGTGTGAATACTTTCTGAAGGTACAATACATCATCCAGTTACACACACTCACCGTTCATCCTCCAGATCTTGACCTGCCGGTCGTCGGCCCCTGAGACGATGAGGGGCATGCTGGGATGGAAGGCGGCCCAGTTGACCCCACGGTCGTGACCCTACAGGGAGAGAGGAAAACTCACATGGCTCAGAGCTTTTCTTGGTCAGTACAAACTCCAGGGCCTACCAATAAAAATGTATATTCATTTCAGTGATCTGCTCAGTGCTCACACCACTCTGCTTCTCCAAAGACGGGCATATAGGATATTTGCATATAGAAAATGTGGATGCACACCAACTACTTTCAGTGTTTCCCCTATATTCATTTAGCAGCAGCGGGCCACCCTTGCTACATCGTTGTCGCCACTACAAAAATATATGATACATATACACACATATATACATATACACAAACATATATATATATATATATACACAGTGGGGAGAACAAGTATTTGATACACTGCTGATTTTGCAGGTTTTCCTACTTACAAAGCATGTAGAGGTCTGTCATTTTTATCATAGGTACACTTCAACTGTGAGAGACGGAATCTAAAACAAAAATCCAGAAAATTATATTGTATGACTTTTAAGTAATTAATTTGCATTTATTGCATGACATAAGTATTTGATCACCTACCAACCAGTAAGAATTCCGGCTCTCACAGACCTGTTAGTTTTCTTTAAGAAGCCCTCCTGTTCTCACTCATTACCTGTATTAACTGCACCTGTTTGAACTCGTTACCGTATAAAAGACACCTGTCCACACACTCAATCAAACAGACTCCAACCTCTCCACAATGGCCAAGACCAGAGAGCTGTGTAAGGACATCAGGGATAAAATTGTAGACCTGCACAAGGCTGGGATGGGCTACAGGACAATAGGCAAGCAGCTTGGTGAGAAGGCAACAACTGTTGGCGCAATTATTTAAAAAATGGAAGAAGTTCAAGATTACGGTCAATCACCCTCGGTCTGGGGCTCCATGCAAGATCTCACCTCGTGGGGCATCAATGATCATGAGGAAGGTGAGGGATCAGCCCAGAACTACACGGCAGGACCTGGTCAATGACCTGAAGTGAGCTGGGACCACAGTCTCAAAGAAAACCATTAGTAACACACTACGCCGTCATGGATTAAAATCCTGCAGCGCACGCAAGGTCCCCCTGCTCAAGCCAGCACATGTCCAGGCCCGTCTGAAGTTTGCCAATGACCATCTGGATGATCCAGAGGAGGAATGGGAGAAAGTCAAGTGGTCTGATGAGACAAAAATATAGCTTTTTGGTCTAAACTCCACTCGCCGTGTTTGGAGGAAGAAGAAGGATGAGTAAAACCCCAAGAAAACCATCCCAACCGTGAAGCATGGAGGTGGAAACATCATTCTTTGGGGATGCTTTTCTGCACAGGGGACAGGACGACTGCACCGTATTGAGGGGAGGATGGATGGGGCCATGTATCGCGAGATCTTGGCCAACAACCTACTTCCCTCAGTAAGAGCATTGAAGATGGGTCGTGGCTGGGTCTTCCAGCATGACAACAACCCGAAACACACAGCCAGGGCAACTAAGGATTGGCTCCGTAAGAAGCATCTCAAGGTCCTGGAGTGGCCTAGACAGTCTCCAGACCTGAACCCAATAGAAAATCTTTGGAGGGAGCTGAAAGTCCGTATTGCCCAGCGACAGCCCCGAAACCTGAAGGATCTGGAGAAGGTCTGTATGGAGGAGTGGGCCAAAATCCCTGCTGCAGTGTGTGCAAACCTGGTCAAGACCTACAGGAAACGTATGATCTCTGTAATTGCACACACACACACACATACACACATATACACACAGTTAAAGTCGGAGTTTACATACACTTAGGTTGGAGTTATTAAAATTCATTTTTCAACCACTCCACAAATGTATTATTAACAAACTGTAGTTTTGGCAAGTCGGTTAGGACATCTACTTTGTGCATGACAAAAGTAATTTTTCCAACAATTGTTTACAGACAGATTATTTCACTTATAATTTACTGTATCACAATTCCAGTGGGTCAGAAGTTTACATACACTAAGTTGACTGCCTTTAAACAGCTTGGAAAATTCCAGAAAATGTCGTCATGGCTTTAGAAGCTTCTGATAGGCTAATTGACATCATTTGAGTCAATTGGAGGTGTACCTACATTTACATTACAGTCATTTAGCAGACGCTCTTATCCATAGCGACTTACAGTTAGTGAATGCATACTTTATTTTAATTTTTTCATACTGGCCCCCCGTGGGAAACAAACCCACATCCCTGCCGGCCAAACCCTCCCCTACCTTGGACGACGCTGGACCAATTGTGCGCCGCTCATGGGTCTCCCGGTTGCGGCCGGCTGCGACAGAGCCTGGACTCGAACCAGCATCTCTAGTGGCACAGCTAGCACTGCGATGCTGTGCCTTAGATTACTGCGCCACTCGGGAGTCAGTACCTGTGGATGTATTTCTAGGCCTACCTTCAAACTCAGTGCCTCTTTGCTTGACATCATGGGAAAATCTAAAGAAATCAGCCAAGACCTCAGAATTTTTTTTTTGTAGACCTCCACAAGTCTGGGTCATCCTTGGGAGCAATTTCCAAACGCCTGAAGGTACCACGTTCATCTGTACAAACAATAGTACGCAAGTATAAACACCATGGGACCACGCAGCAGTCATACCACTTCAGGAAGGAGATGCGTGCTGTCTCCTAGAGATGAATGTACTTTAGTACGAAAAGTGCAAATCAATCCCAGAACAACAGCAAAGGACCTTGTGAAGATGCTGGAGGAAACAGGTACAAAAGTATCTATATCCACAGTAAAATGAGTCCTATATCGACATAACCTGAAAGGCCGCTCAGCAAGGAAGAAGCCACTGCTCCAACACCACCATAAAAAAAGCCAGACTACGGTTTGCAACTGCACATGGTGATAAAGATCATACTTTTTGGAGAAATGTCCACTGGTTTGATGAAACAAAAATAGAACTGTTTGGTCATAATGACCATCATTATGTTTGGAGGAAAAAGGGGGTGACTTGCAAGCCGAAGAACACCATCCCAACCGTGAAGCATGGGGGTGGCAGCATCATGCTGTGGGGGTGCTTTGCTGCAGGAGGGACTGGTGCACTTCACAAAATAGTTGGCATCATGAGGAAGGAAAATGATGTGGATATATTGAAGCAACATCTCAAGACATCAGTCAAGAAGTTAAAGCTTGGTCGCAAATGGGTCTTCCAAATGGACAATGACCCCAAGGGCAAAATGGCTTAAGGACAACAAAGTCAAGGTATTGCAGTGTCCATCACAAAGCCCTGACCTCAATCCTATAGAAAATGTGTGGGCAGAACTGAAAAAGCGTGTGCGAGCAAGGAGGCCTACAAACCTGACTCAGTTACACCAGCTCTGTCAGGAGGAATGGGCCAAAATTCACCCAACTTATTGTGGGAAGCTTGTGGAAGGCTACCTGAAACGTTTGACCCAAGTTAAACAATTTAAAGGCAATGCTACCAAATACTAATTGAGTGTATGTAAACTTCTGACCCACTGGGAATGTGATGAAAATAAAAGCTTAAATAAATCATCTCTCTACTATTATTCTGACATTTCACATTCTTAAATAAAGTGGTGATCCTAACTGACCTAAGACAGGGAATTTTTACTAAGATTAAATGTCAGGAATTGTGAAAAACTGAGTTTAAATGTATTTGGCTAAGGTGTATGTAAACTTCCAACTTCAGCTGTGTGTGTATAAAATACACATACACAGACACACACACTACCGTTCAAAAGTTTGGGGTCACTTAGAAATGTCATTGTTTTAATATGTAAATATGGAATATCTACATAGGCATACACAGGCCCATTATCAGCAACCATCAGTCCTGTGTTCCAATGACACGTTGTGTTTGCTAATCCAAGTTTCAGTTTAAAAGGCTAATTGATCATTAGAAAACCCTTTTGCAATTATGTTAGCACAGCTGAAAACTGTTGTGCTGATTAAAGAAGCAATAAAACTGGCCTTCTTGAAATTTGTTGAGTATCTGGAGCATCAGCAATTGTGGGTTTGATTACAGGCTCAAATTGCCAGAAACAAATAACTTTCTTCTGAAACTCGTCAGTCTATTCTTGTTCTGAGAAATGAAGGCTATTCCATGCGAGAAAATGCCAAGAAACGGAAAATCTCGTACAACGCTGTGTCCTACTCCCTTCAAAAGAACAGCACAAACTGGCTCTAACCAGAATAGAAAGTGGAGTGGGAGGCCCCGGTGCAGAACTGAGCAAGAGGACAAATACATTAGTGTCTAGTTTGAGAAACAGGCGCCTCACAGGTTCTCAACTGGCAGCTTCATTAAATTATACCCGCAAAACACTAGTCTCAATGTCAACAGTGAAGAGGCGACACCGGGATGCTGACCTTCTAGGCAGAGTTCCAAAGAAAAAGCCATATCTCAAAACTGCCCATCTTAATCTTTTCTTTTTGTTGGCCTTGTGTTTTGGGTTATTGGCCTGATGAAAGGGGAATTCATCCCTGTGTCTGGTGGAAAGCAGACAACCAGGTTTTCCTCTAGGATTTAACCTGTGCTTAGCTCTATTCTGTTTCTTTTTTTTATCCTGAAAAACTCCCCAGTCCTTAACCATTACAAGCATACCCATAACATGTAGCCCCGTGTAGCTCAGTTGGTAAAGCATGGCGCTTGCAACGCCGGGGTTGTGGGTTCGATTGCCACGGGGGACCATTATGAAAAATGTATGCACTCACTAACTGTAAGTCACTCTGGATAACAGCATCTGCTAAATGACTAAAATGTAAATGTAAAAATGTAATGATTAAGCCAAGACTATGCTTGAAAATATGAGAGTGGTCCTCAGTCATGTATTGGATTTGCCCCAAACACAACACTTTGTATTCAGGACAAAGTTCCCACATTTTCTTTGCAGTATTTTTTATTATGTACAGGCTTCCTTTTTGCTCTGTCAATTAGCTTAGTATTGTGGAGTAACTACAATGTTGTTGATCCATCCTTAGTTATCTCCAATCACAGCCATAAAACTCTGTTTTAAAATCACCATTGGCCTCATGGTGAAATCCCTGAATGGTTTCCTTCCTCTCCGGCAACGGAGTTAGGAAGGACACCTGTATATTTGTAGTGACTGGGTATAATTGTATGTGTGGGGTACAGAGGTGAGGTAGTCACTCAAAAATCACTTATTTCACACAGAAGCCACGTTTCCATTGGCACTTGTAAAGTCAACCCGGGTTGGGCTGGCCTTGGTGGGCTAGCTCAAATTGAGTTTCCACTGCCTCCAGAACTAAGAAATTATGTAATGTTGCTAGGTAGCTGTGACTGTGCAGCTGGCTTCGCTAATGGTGCTAGCTAGCTAGTAAGATGTTGAAGAATTGTATTCACCCTCACCATGCTGTAACTAAGGTTACCCCATACTCCTGCCACTGCCAGCCAGACTCAGAGCCATGTATTTAGATAGGATTTTTAGCTTGTTAGCTAGCTAAATGGTTAGCGTCGTCACTAGCATAACAGGCTAGCTAGCTATCTAGTTTAATTCCTACCTTGCTTGCCATGGCATTGGCTACTAGCTAACCAAGCAAACCAGATGACAGGTTTGATATGATAGCTTGTTTCCACTCTGATGTGCTAGCTAACGTTTGGTAGCTAGCATTCGAGGGCTGACTGTTCTCATAAAAGTTTGTAGTGCAAAAATGAATAAAGGATCCAGCTACGGTGGTAATTCGTGTCATGTCTGACTACTGCAGTACTGCTTGTCCATGTGCTAGCGAACAGCAACAAGCCCAGACGAGCTAGCTAAACGTGGTGTCAGCATCCAGCAGTGATCAGCTGGTTGTTGCATAGTAACGGCGTCACCAACCCGAATTCTAATTAGAATTCGACCTGGCACCAATTGTGAAAATGGGCTGCGCTGGCCCAGGGTTTCCCTCGACCCAGCTCGAATTTGAGAATTACATTAGAGAAGCTCGAATTTGGCCCTAATTTTAAGTGCCAGTGGAAACAGGGCTAGTGAGTCCATGCAACTTGTGACTTGTTTCACTCATGAACGTATCTAGGCTTGACATAAAAGGGGTTGAAATGTTATTGACTCAAGACATTTCAGCTTTTCATTTTTAATGAATTTGTAAAAATTTATAAAAACAATTCTACTTTCACATTATGGGGTATTGTCTGTAGGCCAGTGACAAAAAATAATAACTTAATCCATTTTAAATTCAGGCTGTAACAACAAGATGTGGAAAAAGTCAAGGGGTGTGAATACTATTTAATTTTAATAATTTCCGGGATGGTAAAAAGTTTTCAGTGTAAACCTAAACGACTAAAACCAGATATAAAGTATGTAGAAAAGATAATGGAGCTATATATTTTAAAAAAAGATCATCTTTGAGAACTAACAATCAAAATCAAAACTACACAGGTATAATCTAAAATTAAAAAACATGACATGGCATGGGGCCCCCATTGATTTTATTATGTTGGAGTCACTCAGATGGCATAAGAACACAGCATAAGACATGGCAAATGTGTAGAATTGCAGGAAATGTGCGCTTAAAACTGCATTTGTCTCTCTGCCCCATGGCAAAATGTGTAGAATTTCAGGAAATTTGCGCTAAAACTGCATTTGTCTCTCTGCCCCATGGCAAAATATGTAAAATTGCAGGAAATTTGCGCTAAAACAGCAACATTGACCACACCCATTACTACCACACCCCCCACGCTAACTTTGACACCGCTGTTGAAAACAACCCTAGGGGAAACACTGACTACTTCCAACAGTCATTAATGACTCACCTCGAGCACGTGTTTGACGACGGCATCGGAAGCGCCAAACAAATCGACGCCAGAGATGCCTCGCACCTCAGTATCCACGGCACTGGGAGAGAGGTTCTTCTTCCTCAGACCTGTAACCAACATGAATAGCACCGCACACAAGGGGAATTCATATACATGTTGCACAGGGCCACCCACATACAGGGAGGGAGAAAGAGACAGATCGACACACGTTAATACACTCAAAGAGATACCATCAGTGAGAGGAAAGGGAGTGCATGATTTGAGAGCTCTAACACACAAACGTAGCTGTTGGAACACTCACACACACACACTGGCACTGAAAAGCAACAACACAACCTGTTTTCTCAGTGTGGTCCTAACTCGAGTCCAGGAACTATCATCTCTATAATCAGCACATCAAAACAGCCATTGAGTTGATTGGGTTAATTAATCACCAACACACAAAGAGCATCACAGTTCCCCTCATTGGATTACAGTTAATCAATCACAAAAAGATTACGTCCAAGAGTCGAGTCAGAACACACGCTTAATATGGAGAGAACACAGTTTGTTTCAGTGTCGCTAGCCCAGGGAAATCATGTGGTGAATAAATAAGCCAACAGGATCAAGAAGAGGATTCATGAAGGTGAACTGCACTAGGAACCCATGTGCAGGTGTGGATGTTTCCAGGGGGAGCATGGGGACAGGTGACACAGGTGGAAGTGGGAAGGGGTGGATTTGGTTGGTGGAGGTGGTGATTGGGTTGTAAAGAGATGCTCTGATTGGGCGTTGAATGTCAGGAGGGGTGAGTAGTATTTTGGAGAGTCCATGCTTGGGTTAGATACTGCTACAAATGAAACATCTTTCTGCTGCTTTGAGGTTTGAGTCATGCTAAGAGTTCATGCTTACTGACCAACAAGCTTATCAATGACCAGTTAAACATAATCTACAGCATTAATCAGGAAATGCAAAGATATCGATAAAGTCTGAAAGGGGATGTTATGGCTACTTCTTAAAGTATTACTGACTGTGCCATGGAGGCATTGCGCACTGCACAGGTGGAGAATTATATCATGCATATTTATTACTTATTAGTAAAGGGTAATAACAATTGTTAAGTTTGAGAGGGATGTGCTATCATCAATGAGAGCAGTTAATAGTGAGTGGTAGCACGGCGCTGATGCCTAATATAGTTTCCTTAGGGTATTTGAGGGGTGAAATTGTAATGGCCAACTGAGCCTGGAGACAGTGGCTGGCTATCATGTAATCTGGGACATTCATGCACACAGAATAGTGAGAATAAATAAGGGAATTCCCACACCTCCCAGCTGCACAGGAGTGAGCTACAGTACATATCTACCTCAACCTCACACATCGACTCGGCACTGGTACCCTGTGTATATAGCCAAGTTATTATTACACATTATGTATTTATTCCTTGTGTTATTATTATTTCTATACTTTTCTCTCTGTATTGTTGGGAAGCACCCATAAGTAAGCATTTCACTACTAGTCTACACCTTTTGTTTACAAAGCATGTGACAAATACAATTGTATTTGGTTATTAGTCACTGAAGCAATGCATGCCAACACTGATCTACCAAAGGTGGCAAGAACAGAATGATGTGTAGTGTGTGAGTTGAGAATGAAGTAGGAAACTTGAATACCTAAAATGGGTTAGTGAATGAGAAGAGTAAAAGAATGATGGAAAGACAGGCAAGAAACACCATCAGACGACAAGTAGATATTAAAACATGCAGAAGCACAGAAACACCTCTCCCATATTCTCTCTCTATCTCACCATCTAACAAAGTGTTACCTTACCTCATTTAACCACCTTGCTCTACAAATCTTCACTGAAAGTTCTTTAGTTCTGTTCATAGCTATGCTCGCATCATCCTTTTCCTCTATTCTAAAACAATATCCTTTTCACTCTTTTTATTCACCTGTCCATCTCAACTAAGGAGAGAGGTGTTTCTGCAAACAGCCCATAGAGATTCATTCTCTACAAAGAGGAGAGGAAGAAGGGGTTCAGGACATGTCCTGTCCCTGGCTTCCTTTCATATCACTCAACCCCCTCCCCAAACCTCACCCCCCCCACCCACTACCCTGAGTTCCATCCCCACGACCTCACCAGAGATATCCCACACGCGCACAGTCTGGTCCAGGCTAGCCGACACCACCAGGTCCTCAGAGGGGTGGAACTGAGCACACATCACATAGTGATTATGCCCAGTCAGGACACTGCAGGAGAGAAACACAAAAAGTATATCATAATTTACTATTAGAAAAACAGACGCATGTTTCAGTGAGGTTTCAGTGAGGTGCCAACTCTTGGCTCAGGCACAGACTTACCAGACGCATGTCCTGGACTGCCAGTTCCAGATGCGGATGGTCTGGTCATCTGAGGCACTCAGAATCCAGGGATACTCCTGGAGAAAGGAAAGGAATGGGTTTCAGAACGCATTAGGGCTATATGTCATTCTATGCCAGAACTATTGAGAACATGAAACTAAGGGATAAACATGACATTCAAAGGTTGGGCCTTAATGTAAGTGACAACAAAATGGATGTAGGCTAGCCATTTTGTGTGTAAAAATAAGAAAGGACTCACATGATGGAAGAAGGTGGTGCGGATGTAGTCCAGGTGTCCAAGAAGAGTGAAGAGGCAACGCCGCAGCTTGTAGTTCCACACCTGGTAAAGGGAGATAAATAGTTAATAGTGCAGTGACATCATTATCACAGTTTTCCAGTATGTTTTAGAATGTATTCTCAGCTAAAACAAATATATGCGGGTGAGGGTGTATGAATTAGGGGTGTAAATGTTTAAACGTTAAACCAAACTCCTTAACGTTAAGAAAATTCCCTAATGGAAAACAATGTTTTTTCCCCCCACAAAATGTAAATCACTGTGCAGCTGGCTCGCCTGCTCTTTCTCCTCGCTAATGATGAGTTCAGTCTTTGGTCTGTTGCGTGTAGAATATCCTAGCCTATTCATTGATGATAGGCCCTGCTTTACTGAAGTTGCGAGACATTGCAAGCCAAGAAATTGCAAAATACAGCATTCCATTGCGAGATACAGCTTTTGATTGCCGATAGATAGGCCTAGTGCATGGTTCTGACTCAGTCTGCCTGGTGGCCGACCTGCCTATATTGGGCCCCTCCCCTCGCTCCCTTGTTAGCTCGCTATGAAAGATGCAAGTGTTTGTGTTCTCGGAATTCCGGCAACTAATCAGTCTCCTCCATTTCACTGAAGACACTGAATCTTAGGAGTCAATTCATAGCGGAAGATGTGTTCTCTTTCTACTAAATGTCTTGGTAAGTCACAGTATTTAAGTAACTTTAAAGTATTTTTTTAGGAAAGAGTGGTCTGGAAGGAAGCAGGCAGGCTGTGTGCAGGCAGCTTGAGATTATTTGATTGACAGTTCTGGTTGCCTAGTGAAGGAAGTTAGTCCTGCTTCAGAAACTGCATTCCTTTACAGACAAGTAAAATGCCCGTTCAGTGGCGCTTTTGAAATCTCCAGAGGTTTCATGTCGGCATTTAAAACTAGAACCGCCTAAACACTAGAATCGCCTAGATTTTGTAAATAAATATGAAATAATAAATCAAATTATTTTTTCTTTTTTTAATCGGCCCAAAATAAACAGAACTATGTCCTTCACTTCCTAAATGTTTGTATTTTACATTGCTCATTTGTCCGAATTTTTTTAATCAAACAGAAAAGTATTGAGCCTTCACCAGTTTTTTTGTTCTTCATACTTATTCACAACTTAACCCGCCAATACAATGTGCTGTAGGACAGAGGTTGATGTAATTTAGAACATCAATAGTGTAATGATGAGTTTGTGTTATGCACATTTATCAGCGCTGGCACTCATGTTTATAACAAATAATTTGACCACGCACCTTACAGGTTGATATCATCCTCTTTTATGTTTGACTTTGTATAAAGAAGCTGTTACGGGACTGTTTTATTTACTATAATTCTATTACTAATCAAATGTATTGTTAGGGAAACAAAAATATCCTACATGTTGCAGTAGGCCTTTGGAATAATGCAAAAACATATCCATGACTCTATCCGAGTTGATGAGCGAGGGGAAGCAAACGATGCCAGTCAGCCTGCGCAGCCGGCCCATCGAAACTACACCTCAACAATACCCAAACTCATTTCACACATAAGAGTTTGCCTAAAGATTAACCTATTAGATGTAAAGTCCCCTGTTTAGTGACAATATTATAAGTTGTCAAATTGCACATAAAGAGATGGGCGCAGCTTGGAATTGACAGATGCAGGGAAAGGAGCATCACTTCATCAAATCCTCCTTCAGAGTCACATGCAGGTACAACTTTTTGATTTCTATATAGTATCAGAAAGAACATTCTGCACTTTCTATGACACTAACTTTTTTCAAATAACTCAATTCAAGAGGTGCAGCTCTATTTCCAAATATCACTTTCTCCAAGAATATCTGTGCAACCTTGCGGGTTGATATGCATCTGATGCGTATGCTAAAGAGAAAGCCCGGTAACGTTAGCAATGTTCTCTAGAAGGTACTAACAGGCTGAAAGGTCAGGCGGTTCTAGTGTTAAAGAGCCGTAGTATACCCTTACAGACAAACAAACACGATGTAGCCGAGGCGCTTTCAAGGGTATATGACTGCGGTAGATATCATTTCATTACCCGGCCCTAGCGGTCATACATACATAAATCGGACCATTATTCTGCATTGTGAATTGACATGGAATTGTAGGATTTTTTTCTTATAATTTTAACGGAAAACCATTTTTTTTTTTTATGGCAGTTTAAGCGCTAAGCAAAATTGTCCATTTGTCACATCCCTAATATGAATGTCTAACCTTGATTTTGTAGTCATCGCCTCCAGACACAAACAGAGGCTGCTGCTTGTGGAAATCAATTCCTCTGACAGGGCCTTCACAATAAAAACAAACATCATAATCAATAACCAATCAGTGCATTACATTTTTTGTTGTTGAAATTAGCTACAAAACTCATTTCACCATCATGCTCATCAAACTTGTCAATCAGTGTGCACATCCGATAGTCCCACAGCTGGATGACTCCATTGTGAAGACTAGCAAGGATCCAGGGCCGCTTAGGGTGGAAACTCAGCCCTATGGAAGAGAAATGGTTTTAGAAAGTTGACTTACTAACTAGCTAGTTAGTTAGTTACTAGTCTTGTAAACCCACCCCTAGGCAAAGACTGATACATTGTGGGAGGTAACAAGTCTGCCTAGGGAGACTAGTTAGTTACACAATCTGTGTCTACTAGCTATGACACCAGTGAATGGCAACATTGTCATCAAGTAAACCATCATTGGTGCTTTCAAGAAACTGGGAACTCTGGAGAAAAAAAAAACTATGTAAATGATCTTCAGGTCGAAACTCTAGAAAGATGCCCTAGTTTCCGATTTGATATTCCGAGTTGGATGACCGTTCAAAAAAAATTTTCCCCCAATCGGAGCTAGTTTTTTTCCAAGTTATCAGTTGTCTTGAACGCATTGAAGTCAGATTTCCAGGATCGGATGCGGTGTTCAAAACAACTGGGAATTCTTAAAAGGCGTCAGCATGCTTCAGTTCGGCTGGCACCTAGGCGAACTCGACTAGCCGAACTGAACGAGTGTGCTCGCATACTCCCTTAAAATACCTTCGCTTGAAAAAAATTGAAAAAAAAAAGCGGCAATAGTACATTTTGTCCATTTTCAGACGTATAAACGTCCTCAAAGTTGTCCGAATTAGTTTTGTTAACAAGAAATGTCATTAATTTATGTTTTTGACTTAGATGTCAAATTACGCAACTAAGATCTCTAAGATGTTTGGTGCAGTATTTCTCAATGAAAAAATGTGTATGAAAACGAGTCGTCTCTCGTTGAATGACAAAGACTTTCCTGAAGAATCCCTACTGTTGACCAATCACCGGCGAAGGGGTGTAGACTTCGGCTCGACTCCAAAAAAGATGTGCCCGAACAACCGAAAAAACCCTCACCGAAGTCCAAAAACGTCACCAGAAAATATGCACGAACTCTAGCGAACTGTTTTGGCTGGGAAGCATGCGGACGCCTTAACTCGGAACTCTACATTTCCGACTTCAGTGCGTTCATGACAACTGGGAACTTGGTAAAAAACAAGCTCCGACTGGGAAAGATAATTTAAACGGTCATCCAAATCGGAATTCCAAGTCGGAAACTCTGGCATCTTTCTAGAACTCTGACATGCCGACCTGAAGATCACTGATGACATGACTTGACCAGTCGTCTTGAAAGCACCAGGAGTTCCCAGTTGTTTTGAATGGGGCAAAACATCCAGATCAACATGTATTTGTATTTACATTCATTGCATGCATTTGGGATTGAAAACTCGCGGAGATGTCAGCTGAATGTGTGTAGGGCTGGGCGATATCGAATTAATTTGAATTTATGTTTTTGTGCGATATTCCAAATGCCTGTATCGCAGAATCAATTTTTTTTGTTGTATTTTCCATTTTTATAAGCGTTTATGTCCGCTTGTTCTCATGTCTTTTTGGTCTTGTCTCGTTCCGCTCCTTCTGTGCTGTGCACCGTCCCATTTACACCAGAGATCTGTATATAAGGACGAGACGCTCATGTCTCCGGCCTAACAATGGGAGTTGTTGTCCCAATGGTGGGAAGGCAGGCGACAAGGTTCAATATAAGCGCATAGAAACGAGTTGGACTTATTTTGGACAGAATTTGGCGAGAGTGAAACCTCTCGCGTCGCCTCTTTCTCAAAAGCCCCTACCACTCACAACAACAAAGATGAGCGATCACTTCCTCCTCTCTGACAAACGGTTTCAACTCGCTATTTGCATTTGAGGTTTGGTCCAACAGAAATCGGTCATATGGACGCCAAAACACATGGAGACATTATTTTACTGTAATAGAGAAGTTAACCTTTCGAACCATACCCTGTTTGTGTTTCAACTCATCAAATTTCGAGCAGAAACTACTAAAATGGATGTATCAATTAACATTCATTCTGGAAAATGCAAATAAAGATTGTTATACTAGCTGTTTAATTTGTGTTTTATAAAATGTGCAATAAGCGTAAAACAATTATATAAGGAATTGGCAACTCATTCTCATTCTGAGAATTAAGGTAGGCCACTTGATTTCAACATCTGAACAAAGTGGAAAAGCTGGCATGCTGTTCAAACAGTTGGAGACGGACAGAAAATGGTGTTCATAACAATTCAACTATTTTGCCTTGTTAGCTGAATTCAGAACTTGTGAAATCATACCTAGATTCATGTTGGCTAAACTTTAAATATACATATTAGCTGGCTACTCACTAGCACGTGGGCTTGTGTTTGAAAGATTGTTCATGAGACAGGTGTTCATTTTCTAGAATATGGAGGACTAAAAGTGCCACAATTAAATAAATAAATACACCATTAAATAATTACTTAAATGTGTCATTAATTAATTAAAATTAGAATTAAATACATAAATGTGTAATTAAATGTATCATTAATTAATTCAAATACCGATTCATTTTATGTAAAATACATATATAATTATTTCACTATTTACATTTACATTTCATGATCCTGCATTGCAGTGATTCATGAATTACTTAAAACTGTCAAACTGACCCATCAAAAGTTGGTAGGCGGAACCTAACGCCTGATTGGTTACCCTCTGCATCAAGCCAAGACAAATCAATTCCGGATAATGGATTGATGCAGAGCTACTGAACACATTCCAATACACTGGGTGGCGCTATTCACCTTCAATAAGTTCCTCTGCTTTACTAGCTACATGCTCTGGGTCAGCAGGTCCTGCTTCTCCATCATCTGCTAAGTTTAAAAGTCTCGAACCAACTCACTGGAAAAGTTCACGGAGATCCTCACATTGTCTCATCCAGGTTGGCTACTCTACTTCAGACCAACATGGATCAACTAATTCGCGTAGCCCCGCCACTGACTTTGAGGGTCAGTTTGACATTTTAGATTCATGTCACTGCAATGCATATAATGTAAATGTAAATAGTGAACAATTATAATATGTATTTACATAAAAGAATCGTTTTGAATGATTAATGTACTTTAATTACACATTTATGTATTAATTTAATTTTAATTAATGACACATTAAGTACTTATTAATGTTTTTATATTTAATTTGGCACTTTAGTCTCCATACTAGAATGCCTGCTACATTGATTAGTCAAATGTGCATTTGTACTGGTTCTGTTAATTTGTAACAAAAAGGGTAATACAATAATTAGTGGGTGTTATGGTAGGAATATATTCAGCCTAGGTATAATTTCACAAACTCTGAATTCATTTGATTATTGCTGACTGTTTTAAATGCAGTGTATTTGACCTTTAATTGCACAACAAAGCTAATTTAGAGCATATACAGTTGAAGTCGGAAGTCTAAAACTCGTTTTTCAACCACTCCACAAATTTCTTGATAAACTATAGTTTTGGCAAGTCGGTTAGGACATCTACTTTGTTCATGACACAAGTAAATGTAACAACTATTGTTTACAGACAGATTATTTCACTATCACAATTGCAATGGATCAGAAGTTTACATACACTAAGTTGACTGTGCCTTTAAACAGCTTGGAAAATTCCAGAAAATGATGTCATGGCTTCAGAAGCTTCCGATAGGCTAATTGACATCATTTGAGTCAATTGGAGGTGTACCTGTGGATGTATTTCAAGGCCTACCTTCAAACTCAGTGCCTCTTTGCTTGACATCATGGGAAAAACAAAATAAAATCAGCAAAGAACTCAGAAATTTTTTGTAAACCTCCACAAGTCTGGTTCATCCTTGTGAGTAATTTCCAAACGCCTGAAGGTACCATGTTCATCTGTACAACCAATAGTACGCAAGTATAAACAACATGGGACCACGCAGCCGTCATAACGCTCAGGAAGGAGACGCGTTCTGTCTCCTAGAGATGAATGTACTTTGGTGCGAAAAGTGCAAATCAATCCCAGAACAACAGCAAAGGACCTTGTGAAGATGCTGGAGGAAACAGGTACAAAATGATCTATATCCACAGTAAAACGAGTCCTATATCCACATAACCTGAGAGGCCGCTCAGCAAGGAAGAAGCCACTGCTCCAAAACCGCCATAAAAAAGCCAGACTACGGATTGCAACTGTACATGAGGACAAAGATCGTACTTTTTGGAGAAATGTCCACTGGTCTGATGAAACAAAAATAGAACTGTTTGGCCATAATGACCATTGTTATGTTTGGAGGAAAAAGGTGGTTTCTTGCAAGCCGAAGAACACCATCCCAAACGTGAAGCACGGGTGTGGCAGCATCATGCTGTGGGGGTGCTTTGCTGCAGGAGGGACTGGTGCACTTCACAAAATAGATGGCATCATGAGGAAGGAAAATGATATGGATATATTGAAGCAACATCAAGACATCAGTCAGGAAGTTAAAGCTTGGTCGCAAACTGAAAAAGCCTACAAACCTGACTCAGTTACACCAGCTCTGTCAGGAGGAATGGGCCAAAATTCACCCAACTTATTGTGGGAAGCTTGTGGAAGGCTACCTGAAACGTTTTACCCAAGTTAAACAATTTAAAGGCAATGCTACCAAATACTAATTGAGTGTATGTAAACTTCTGACCCACTGGGAATGTGATGAAATAAAAGCTTAAATAAATCATTCTCGCTACTATTATTCTGACATTTCACATTCTTAAAATAAAGTGGTGATGCTAACTGACCTAAAACAGGGAATTTTTACTAGGATTAAAGGTCTGGAATTGTGAAAAACTGAGTTTAAATATATTTGGGTAAGGTGTATGTAAACTTCAACTGTGTGTGTGTATATATATATTATACATACACACACACTACCATTCAAAAGTTTGGGGTCACTTAGAAATGTTGTTTTCGAAAGAAATGCAAATGTTTTATCCATTAAAATAACATCAAATTGATCAGAAATACAGTGTAGACATTGTTAATGTTGTAAATGGCTATTGTAGTGGGAAACGACAGATTTTTTATGTAATATCTACATAGGCGTACAGAGGCCCATTATCAGCAACCATCAGTCTGTGTTCCAATGGCACGTTGTGTTTGCTAATCCAAGTTTATCATTTTAAAAGGATAATTGATCAA